CAATTAACATGAGAAGAATTAATTCAAGAATGCTCTTTTATATTATAGAATAGATATTCTCGTCTCTTATAAGCTAATGTTGTTACTGCTATTCCAAAATTTTCCCCTCTTGTTACAATATGCTCATTTTATTAAGGTTATTCTAGCCTACATATATTAAGAATGAATCATATTCATTTTGGATACATAAGAAGCTCTTGTTCAAACCTCTCTATTTTGTGATGAGAGATGGGAGACAATTAAAAATAAAATAAAATACATTTCATCATATTTGCTTGCCATTGCCAACATTAACCTCTATGTCAGGTGGCAAGCTGTATCATGTTTGGTGGTCTACAACCAGAAAGTCATGTCCTGAGAAGTTGATTAAATAGTGGAATTAAAGCGGCATCAATATAAGAGCATAGTTGCAACACAGTTGGTATGTGTTGACTGTATGCTTGTTTAATTTTTTACTGTATATGTAGTAATATATTGACTGTCATTTTCACCATCTGTCATTGTCCTTAGCTGTGCATATGATATCATTGTCGATGAGAGTTAAGCCAACAAATAATAAGTAGTGGTTGAGGGCTAACAATGATACACAGAAGCACAAGGGGTCTTCAATAAACTATTGAATACGTCTAGCTAGATGCATATAAATTAGTTGTCAAATTTGAAACATATTATATTTGTGGATTGATTGATTACATTATAATATAGATCTATTCATAATATATTCCTAATCCCACATTGTTGGGCATAACCGTTGAGAAAGCTTTTTGCTGGGGTAGTAATCACAAAGGAGTAATCGAGAAGGGTTGAACAATGTTTTGTATACGAATCTTTGAAATGGTGACTGTGCATCTTAGTGTTATCTCAGAAGAAATGGTAACATAAGTTAGTCTTTGTTATTTATTTAGGGGAAAATCCTTGTGGATACTTGTGTGAAGACCAATAGGCTGTAAAGCACAACGGGCTTAAGGAAAGTGAACCTTTCAGCGTGTAACTGTCATTGAAATGGTAAAAAGATAAGATGAAATTAGCATAGATCTCCAGACCCCACATCACTTTTTTAAGATTTCTATTATGGTTGTTGGGCCATGAATAGTTGAATAAAGAAGTTGGTGCATCATGAACTCGCACAAATACGACTCACGTGTATAAGACATAATAGAAGTATTTCTTATTAACTGTTTTGTCTACTACATTGCACTTAAAATATTGCTGAAGGGAAGTGTCACTATCACTGATTAGGAAGAATCGTCACCAGTCTAAGCCATTAATCTTAGCTTATTTTATATGCAGATGTTAATATATAGTTTGAGGGTGCACCATAAGAGCTTCAATTAATGTATATATTATTTTATGTTTGCTCTAGCAAATTGAAGATGATCAGATCAAAATCATAGGTATATTATTTCAAGAATAATATATATACACACACATATGTATGTATGTATATGTATCAGCAGAATCATAGGTATATTATTTTTCAGGAACTGATCTTATGAGATGGACGATGCTGATACCTTAGGAGCTAGCTGATCAGGGAAGATATCAGAAAAACTGATACTTTCTAGCTATGTGAATCTAACTTGTATCATTCTAATTGAATCTAAGGTAGATTTTCTGGGTTCAACCTTCATGTTAATATATAACTTGACAATATATATAAATTTTTTTTTTTTAAAGACAATATATATACTTGGTTTTCCATTAATAATAATGGGAAGAGTGAGTGAAGGAAAAGAAAACTTGTGTAATAAGCCATTTTAAGGCATATTCATGTTCTCTGCCTTGATCATTCCTAGAAGCAAATGATGTGTGAGCTGCTGAATGCAAACACTATATTATTGTTTGTTCTTAAAACAATTACTATTTGGGGTTTTATTCTTGCATGGAAATGGAAAGACTTCAATCATATACGTGGCAGAGGAAGTTTAGAAAGTCCGAATTTAGATGTATTGGGTAGAAACTTAACTGAACAAGCAAATCAGTTGTTTAGCTGACACTAAAACTATGGTTTTTTTTTTCCTAATGATAAACAAAAAAAAAAAAATAAAACTGTTTAATTAGGTTACATCACGATCCAAATTCTTTATTAAACCTGCTTTTTTATGCAAGGAGATGGTCCGCCCGGCTAGGAACCCAAATTGAAGAAGTAATCTCTCTCATCTCTCTGTCTCTCTCTGGAAAATCTTTGTGAGCTTTTCTTGGAAAAGGTGTGAACATGATTTCCTTTTCTCTTAGCCAATACCTTGCTTTCTTTTATGAGAAAAACTTGTGTTGGAGGTAAATGAGGTAAGTTAAAGAGGAAAAAGGACAGAAGGAGGGTGGAAATCGGTTCTCAATTCTTGTTGTTGTTAGTTTGACTCTGTGTGGCTATTGATGTGATGTTCAAAACGAGTTTAGGTTTTAAAACAGCTACCTTAAAGTAAGAAAATGACCTTATTTGGACAATTTGGACCCTGGCTTTTGAGTCTATATTCACAGTAGCCATTGATACCAGTTTTGCAAGTATCTGACTTGATATACATGTCCATTAATACTTGTTTTGCAAGTATATGATATGTCATACATCCTATGTATAAATGTACAAAAATAGATTTATGTTAGATAAGAAGATAAATATTCACCAGGAAACACAATTACAGAAAACAGAAATTTATTGCTTTAATTACTTTCACGATCAGACTATCTATCAACTTAGGCAGGTTTTTACTTCGGTATAGTTTGCAATGGTTTTTTCATTTATTTTGTGCCTTCTTGTGGAAAAAACAAACATATCAAGCAATTTATAGACCACTTAGTTGGGGGTTTATAGTTTTTGGGTTCAAATATAAATGAAACCTAAATCTGGTCTTTTTATTTTAAGAAGGAAAAAGTTCACAAAGATTATTCATAATAAACAGCTGTGATTGATGGAATCTTACTGACTTCTGATTTTTTAGTTAAAAATGAGAAGTACAAATTGATGAAGTAGATCTATAGACAAGGAGATATTTTAAAAAAATTATTAATTAGGAAAGTTTCTCTGCTAAAATTGTTGTTTGGCCTATGCCTATAATGCATTTAGACATAAATGATAAAAAAAAAGAGAAAAAGGTGGCCTCAGAAGATCAACTTCATAGATATGTATACAAGTATAAAGGTAGATGTGTGTGTACCTGGATCCTATCTATATATTATATTCTTCGTGTTTATAGTGTATGTATATATGTATGTATGCATATATACATGCATATACTGACAGGTATATTCCTTTTATGAAAAAAATGCATAATCTTGTGCCTTGGAGTACAGCGCCACTGAATGCATATGAGTTTGAGTTTAGTTCTTTCCTAAGTAGGTAGATTTTTTTTTATTAATCATTAAAAAGTCATATGTAACACACTGAATATATATAACTTTTTTAGATATTTCCAATGCAATTTTTGCTTTTATTAAGCATTAAAAATTCTGCTGTGTATGGCACTTTTCATTATCATCAGGCTTTCCTTCATAGGATTTAAGAACTGCTTTTATTTCTATTCTGTCAATTAACAGCTGTGACTGAATATTTCTCAACCTCTGTTTAAGAAAAATCAAGAAATTAAAGACCTATATCTCTCCCTGTCTGTCTATCTCTTCCCATCATTTAGGACAAGCAAGAAAAGGACAGGGGCATCAACAAACAACATTGACGAGTTCTTAGGACAGATTCAAAGAAAAATGTCTCAAGAGTTTCAAAATGCTGTGGAAATTTAGAAAGTTGCTGCAACTTCCCCTCTAACCATCTCCCTCAGTGGTCAAAGGTATCACAACCTTCTGTACCTATCCTTGTAAGTTTTTTTATATCAAAATGAAGGATTAATTTAACAAACTCTCATGCCTTCATTTTATATACATAATGATCACATAAAAACTGCTTCATGTTTCGTTTCCTAGCGTTTATTCTATTA